GCTCCCGTCTTTATTAATTTTTAACAATAGGAAGCTGTTGCGCCAGTTCGAAAGACCGAAAACTATCAGAAATCAGTGTGTCGGAAGAATTAATATTAATACTAAACCTGTGCCAGTAACCTCCCGTGGAGGAAGACGCTATCTATCCGGTGCTTCCAGCCGCATGTATGGCACCCACTTCTGCTTGCGGTAAAACCACTTGAAAACTGCATGTTAACAAGCATCATTTTACCTTCTATGCGCGCTTCGGTTTCTAAGATCTTGCAGGGAAATATTGGCTACCGTGAAATCCATCACAGTCGCGTGTAACATTTCTTGCGATTTGTACATACTAAGTTCCATCTTTAAGTAAACTTTGTACGAAATTTTTTTTGAAGATAAGTTTCGTTTCTCTTGCATCTTGCAAAGAAATTATTAACTGATCTAACCTTGATTTCGTGCTTAATTAAAATTGTGAAACTCTTGAATAAAAGATCTTTTTTTTTTTTGATACCAGCCGAACCAAAGGAGGGAAGGAGCTGATGGAAGACAAAATATAAGCCTGAGGGGCGCATCTTAGGCTAGAGGAGATTCTGAAACAGTACTGAATTTTATCGGCGGCAACAAGCTCTCTTTTCTAGAAATCTTTTGCTTTTTTCTTTAGAGTTGGTTACTTTTCGTTATATTTTTCAAATTGTATGGAAAAAGTCTAGTAATTTTTATCTGGAAAGATAGAAAAACTTACCACCCCTTTAGTTCATAATTAACATGATCAGATCCTTAGTTAAAGATTTTGAAACGGTCTTAAAAGCAGAACTCCGAGTTCTCCGATTCTCAATAGGGATTCCGGACACATCGTTCTCGGTTACCACAGTCGTTCGGTGTTACGGAAGGTAGAATCAATATACAAGGTGCAAGAGATCTTATGTAATCTTATAGGCTAAGATTGCATTTAACAGCCTGCTAAGTAGAACAATACTTAACTACCTGAGAAGAAAAACTGCTTCGAAATATCAGAAATTGACCCAAATTATCTCAACAAGATAAGCCATAATACCTCATAAGCTATGCAACCTCACAGACCGCTATATTATTAACGAAGAGACAACATTCCACCGTGTAGAGCGCAAGGAAAACGAGATACCATTGTTCTTGGAACGACGCTTGGTTCTACCACGCCGTCTTCTGCGTAAACTATCAAAGCCTATTCTGTAGGACTGAGCAGGCTTTGTCTCTTAGAGTGGCGTAGGCGCACAGAACTGTAAACACGGAAGTACTTTGGATGCTAGCCGCCTTCATTCTCTGAAAGCACAATGTGAACGAGCGGACGCAGACCTAGGCATAACCAAAAAAAGAAACAAGAGAAGATCTACGAATGCCAAACAAGCAGTTTTCACGTGGGACGGAATCCCACATAGAGACCCAGGTACGGAGGCCAGGGAGAACTTCTGTGATTAAAGACTGAATTGAACCAGCGGCAGGTTAATTCTCCCATCACGCTATTCACTTCCTCACAGGGCACGGGAACTTCCAATCCCATTTGCACCATATAGGCAAGCTGCTTTCAACCTCATATGTATTGCGGGCTTAAGTTTATCTGCATGCCCCAGGATAGTGCACCATCTACAACACCGTCAAAGAAACGGGCACCGGCATCGAACTAAGGAGATCCTTAGGTTTTGTAAAGCATGTATGATAGCATCTAGGTAAGGCAAGATTTTAACTGAATGCATTCTTGATAAGCAGCATTAGCTTACTAAAGAGTATCCGGTCAGACTCAATCACAAGGAAGAGGAGGTTAGGACACTGCGTATGTAGAGAGCGGGGAAACAATTCTGCCCTCCGCCTTGTCTGGTGGGGTCGGGAAATTAACAGAACCCAATGCGTTGAATCGGTAGCATACACCACTCCCCCCTTCTAGCTTGTAGTGCTGCTGAAAGAAGATCAGGGCTAGCATAGAGCAAAGCATAAAAGGGAAATTGAGAACTAGCGGGCAGTGGTATCGGCGGAACAAGATCCAGGCGTGGAAGTCAAACCCCTTAACTCGGTTCACATAAGCTTAATACTAGCGGTGTTTCATCGTGCGTTAACAGCATTACTCACACCTTCCAAAAAAAAATTATTGAGACGTTCTTATGTTTTATATCGATACTCATTTCTACATAACCATATGTAATTATACATGATTACACAAAGGCGCTTATTTTTACCAGTATGCCATATATCCTGTATGATTAAATGAATTATTGGCGTCGTTTGTGTGCTGAGGAAAGAGGTGGGGTTATGCAAAGAGATGTTAGAGGATATGTTTGGAAAGCCACACTTGGGTATTCTGTTCATTACGCCTGTGAAATTACCTATCTAAATAAAACAACCTGGGAGATGCTGAATCAGATTTTTGCGTTGAGGCTACCCAGAGGCTAACCGTAGTAACACAGTAATAAAACAGGCATCTTTTTTTAATGCAAACTTGTCAAGATTCGTAAAGCAGCCAACTGTTTAACTAAGATGTCTGGCTATACCATAACACGTATTTAAAATAGCAATCGATACCCATAACGCACGTTTAACGTGTCATGTGCTTCTGACAATATCAGGTCTTTTCGAAGCTATTCTCATGACCATATCTGTGGTTCAGGGTTCCTGCTAGTAGAAGGCCAATCGACTTCACTCGTACAATATAGTAGGTTTTTATTTATATACAAGATCTGAAAGTTAATTCTGCTTCACTGCTGAGCCCTATATAGGCAAGAAACCTAAGTTTGCTCAAAATAATAATACGTCGATCTGACGAAACCAAACTCATCTACTAGGCCTAACCAGGTTTTCATCTTGGACAAGTATTTTACAAGCGATGGCCTTTGTTCCAAGGTTTATAAATTCGCAAATAATAATTACATGTCGGAGAAAATAACTCCAATAACCACATTCGCTAAAGGCTTGACTGTTAACGTGGTGGCTTGGAAGGCGAAGCTTCTCGTTGCTGCTTCAAGTGACGCCAACAGCATCTGTCACACAACCCGTATGAATAAAGATAATTAAAACCGAATTTAGCTCTAGAAGGTTAACTCTGTGGAAGAATGAGCTACGAAACGTAAAAAAGACCAAGAAATCGCGTGCAGAGATGCCATTACAAGGACGGTGTCATCCGATGGAGGACCCAGCTGTGGACCTAGGCCGGTCTGCCATACAAAAAACGTTTGCTCCAGATTCTGACGAGTGAGGAGACTTTCATTTAATTATTTATGAATCAATCATGTTCACGTTGTTTGATACGCTCAATCGGGTTGCGTTGCGTTAATTTTAGAATCAGTCTTAATTATTATTATTATCGTAGTTTCGTACAGAGAACTTGTTTTTCTGAAGCTTTAAGAGCGCCTACATAGTGTGCGTGTAATATCGCAAAAGGCAGAGGGCTAAAAAAAGCTTACCTTTACGTAACTACAGGCTAAATACAACACATCCCGTCACCTCGGTAGAAGTTGGCTCCATAAAACATAGTTACCGACAGTCAAAATACCATGTTTTTAGCCTTGTCTACCCAGTCACAAAATTAGTGTTAAATTAGAGCTCATAACCGCCTACGAATTTTTTTTGGCCCTCAAAAGTTCTGCAGTCGCTTCTGGCCGGTCAACGCTTTTCTCTAACAATGCCTCAGCATTTAAGAACTGAGCACATTATGCAAAGAAGCCAGAATTCTGTTAGGCGTCGCTTCGGAGGATGGGAACTTAAAGCACAGGCTGCGGTTTCAACACAGTGATTGATGGCAACGGTCTTCGGAAAATCTGTTCAGAACTGTGATTTCAAAACATCAGACTGAGTCATTTTCTAATTCGTTTGGAATCGACATGTTTGTGATAGGGGAGCAGTCGCTAAAGGATACGCTCTTCATATATGCACGATTCTAACACATTTACTAGAGATCTTAATAACGAATGATATGAAAGTGAGATGCAGGTTGACAGAAACTCAATCGCGTTCTAACAGTTCGGAAATGACGTACCCTAATCGTTAAACAGCTTCTAGTTTTTTGTGCTTTCTGATAAGGCCAGAAAGTAACTTTATGGTACTAGGTTAGCATTGACTTTCGGCGAAATGAATAGCATGAAACATTCTGTCTAGGCGTATTAATAAATCGCTACGTTTCAGCATATGCGACATGCTTAGCATAGTCCAGTGTAGAAGTGACAGCCATAAAATGTATCACGAACCTCATGCAGAAGGATGGCCTAAGTGCGACGAAAGTTTGTGGTAAAAAACGTCGTCTAGAGGCCTATGCCTCGATGGCTGCCATAATCAAATTAGTTTTAGAAATATTATTGAAATGATCCCATGAATGCGTTTCATCACACGTGGCAAAGATGCCCTCGGGTTCAAATCAGCAGGTGGTTAATACGGGAAAAGTTATAAAGACCTGATATTATGACACACTAACATCGACAGTGCTACAAAAGAGATCGTTCGACTATAATTATTTCTGCTAGTTTGGTGCTTCATTTTTCTCGCCCGGATTTTTCGACGCGATGTACCGTTGCTACATCTGCCTACACCGATTTGGCTGTATAACTTTACATCCCACTAATGCCTTCATCATCATCAAAAGAACTACGAATTTATATACTTTTATGCACAGCCAAAACATCTGGAACTATCTTATTTTAGTCCTTTTAATAGGTCTCGAGTATGGAACTCATTCGCCTGCGCAGTGTAATAGTATGAAGTATAATATAATCTATTAAACCACTATTTTTTTGACTCTTTCCGCGGTATGAAATTGTTTTGAGATATTAACTTTAGAATTTTCGAAAATAGGTAGAGAGAAAGTTGTATTTTTTTCTTTTGTCGAGCTTTATACATCCTGATTTTCTTCATCGAATCTTCTTTTTTCTTGCTCTTTTATGTTCTTCTTCCAAGTTACACATAATAGTTCGAAGAAAGATAGTTTCTTTACTCCACCCATCTACAAATCCGATAATATAATAAACGCCCTTAATTATAGTTCCAAATGTATTTCGCAGTACCTTTCTTCTTCGAGTTGTTCTCGAAGCATTGGCATTTGAACATCGTACAACCCTGAAGTCTTGACTGATGCGGGATGTGTCATGCTGCTCTAGTCCTTTTCTTTCCATATCGTGGTACTGAGACTATCTGGTCGACACTGTATGTGAATGGCATGGCAGGTGAGGTTCCCACTGTTGTTGGTATACAATATTTGCAGGTGAAGCTTCAGGAAAGCAACTACGATCTGCTCACAAGGTACATGTCCACGACCGTTGGCAACTGGCAGCTCCCTCAATGGAAGCGTTTCGTTCCGCTTTACCTGGATCATTCAGTAGATAACCAGATTTTAGGACCCCAATCCATCATGAATTAAAATAGAGTACACTGATCGTGTGCTGACTGCCCTACCCGTTTATGTATGCAACTCGGGATTGTTTACTAAATACATGCAATGGAAATATTTTATACAATAAATATCATTGAAATATTTTAGTGGTACTTCGATGCACGCGCGCTACTTGATAAGTTATACGTGCTATTTTGATTTCCATAAAAATAGTTTTCCTTGGTTGACGTGCGTATTTGGTGTAGACCAATCAATAAATGGGTCCTGTGTTCATAAGAATTTTCATCTAATTGTGTGATGAATGAGCATATGTCATTTTTGACTTAGTGCAGCCATGCTCCCCAAGGACATCTAAAAAAATCCTATGTGTACGAAATGTCCTATGTGAAAGACTGAAGAGTAGGTTGGAGCCTGAAAACTTGCCCGCTGGTCCCAGCCGAAGCTTTTACACCCTAGAGGCGTCCTAGCCACGACTTACTTTTATTCTCAATCGTTACCGTCAGCAAGTAACTTGCCCGCATCCGCAGGTTTGGCCACTGCTATGAAATATTGAAGGATTGGGGATAAGTCGGAGACATGCACGGTATTGGTTAAAAGTCAGAATATAATACAATTAAGTTTTGTAATTTTGAGACAATCTTATATCGTGAACTTATATCTGTTATTACCACCTTTTACATCATCACTGTTATAAGTGACCAAACGCGTAACTGTGTCCCAAAAACGCCCACTACCAATCGGAAAAAATTTTTATGCATTGGCTTATTATACAGAACCTCATAAATAGTAGTTTGGCATGGCTTATTTTACAGATTTGTTTACTCTGCAAGAGGCCATTTATTATTCTAACAGTCTATCGTTACTAATCATAAGCGACAATAAGTATTCGTCTAGAAAAAATGGAGCAAAATATGGCTACTCTCGTAACTCACCTAGATATCAATGTGTTTACTGCTCGACTCAGGCCGTCATATGTCTGCACGATTGTTTCGCCTAAGATTGAAGGCTAGCCTACATTTCCATGAGATGTAGATAAGAGACGATGATGATATATTAGGATACTACGTATGTTTCGATTTACGGTCTGATATATATTGGAAGGTTCTATAATTTCCACTTCCAGCTTCCCGACTTGGTCGAGATGATAATTTTGATGAAAACAAAACGATTACGTTGCCATTTATGTTTATTTGGTCGCTTACTGGATTTTAAACATGTTAAAATCTCATATACATGTATTCAATACACATTCAACTGAGAGGGAGTAAAGATATTGTAGTAAAAACTATAATAACCATTATTGCGACTCACTAAATATCGGCTTTAGTAGAGTATGTTACCGCAAAATGAGCAAAGGATATGTCTTACCAGTGTGCGCTTTCCTGTTAAGGATAGTTGTGATCTTGTTAGGTCTATACAAATGAGTGAAACAGCTATGACTCGGACAATAAGCTGCTGAAGAGTCATAGTCCATTTTTATCAACGAAGTTTTCTATGGAATGTATGATTTACGTAAGCTTAAGACGTTTGTAATCAAAAGCCGACTTTATCATTTTGATGATTAATATACCACATGAACATTAATTTGTTTCCAGCAGCAGTACATTTGGGAAAAATTGAGGACATGACTAAAATTAATAGCTTTCGTTATTAAGTTAAATTTAAGTTTAATATTAAAGTAAAATTAAGTTAAAAATAATAGCTTTTTCATAAGGGACTTCCTGTTCTAATAAATCTTTTAGAATTTTTTGGAGTCAAATAGTTAGTTTACTTACCTATTAACAACTGCGCTGTATCATTTAAAATTATCTGGATATTTTTCGTCATTTGTTTTGTTCAAGCTGTAAACATTAAACTTGAATACTATTCTCTCTCAGAGCGAAATAGTCAATAGCATTTGGCGCTTGTACGTTAATGTACAGTTCGTTGGTGAAAACAAATCAACGCATGATTAAGTACTTTTAAATAGTAGCTTAGGACATGAATAGGTACTAATAAGTTAACGAAGTTACGATTCGTGAAAAACCCAGTTAATGGAAAATAATCACTGCCGTTTGAATTCGGCGCCATTTTTTGGCGCCAAAGCGAAGCTGTAGAAATCCGATCAGCTGGACACAATTGGCATCGCTAACCGTATGTCTTCTTCATAGACTTTAGTACTAGCGTCAAAAAAAGGTAGGGAAGATATACGTTTTTATGGGACTATACAGAATTATTGTATTATTATTTTGAAAATTATCGTTGGACTAGGAAACGTATGATTGTGATCAGATTTTTCTCTTTTCAGTTTATGCGAGCAAAAAACTCTAATGAAATTCGCAGTCTGGATTGTGCTTTTGCTACCTTTTTGCTTAGCGCTGCGTTAGGTAACAGATTTATATATCATATATTTTTACATATATAATTAATGACTATATAGTCCTGCTAGTATAATTATTAATACGTTTTTAAGCAATCTTATGCCTCGTTTTCTCGAAAAAAAAAGCCAAAAAATGAAATCCAATACACGAACATTGCACGAACACGCTAATCTAAGAGCAGTTATACTCGAAAATCATTACTCTTCTCCTTTTGGTTTGTTACTGGGGCGCATCATGCGATCTTGGTGTAAACCAGTCTGCTAAATCGTGTTACCTGACTTCTTGGAGCGGCATAAAAGCTTTCTTTCGAAATTAAACGATATCGCCATTATTCTTACTACCTATTCTACTGTCTCCTATGACCAATTCTCAATAATTCGGAATAGCCAAGAGTAGGATATCAGTGATGACCCACGAAAAGGAAGTATTTAAATATACAAATATCAGCGTCGAAAAAGGAATGAAACCTCATGTTCAGCAAGACTTCCTCTTAATTTATTGGTGTCGTGAGACATTTGTTAAATATGATGTCGCATATACTGTCTTTTTCATGTATGTATAGATGGAGTCTATTGACAAATGGACCGATAATCTCGTGAATCTTGAGCTGTCATCCTCACCTGACCCGGAGCCATGCTTTAATGAAGATTGCGTTTTGGGTATCGATGAGGCCGGACGTGGCCCTGTGCTCGGACCGATGGTCTATGGCACATCCTATTGGCCAATTTCTAAGGTATACTGCACATCATCGTTAAACATTTTCACACTTCATTTAAGTGTGAGTTTTAATTATATTTCAATCAGCTGTACTTGGATGCAACCGGGGATATTAAACGGGTGTGTCTAAAGAGGGTATGTGAAGTGACATTAAATCTATTATACGTCTACATCGACAGGCAAAAAGCTATGAACAGATGGGCTTAAATGATTCGAAGGCGCTATCAGAAGCCGATCGTGAACGTCTCTTCGAACTTTACAACGCAGAGAATACAGTATCGGGATGGCATCTAATATGCATTTCACCTGTGACCATTTGTAAGGCTATGCTTGGTGAGTATAGTGATTGATCGAAACTTACGTCAATTCAATTTTTTGAAGATGAAGAAACTTGAAGTTGAGGTTGAAGAAATGCTGTTTTAGCAAGCATAATACACACGTCCCTTGGCTTACTGGTCTAAATCACTCGTGTATATTTTGTCCATCTTAATGTAGTAGTTTTACCCTAGTACGTTTTTTTTGCAGATAAAGTAAAGCCTAACGGGGCATAGGTTTTATCGCTTACTAGTTTGAAGCTAGTAGTTTTTACTATTAGTTTTCAAATTTTCCTTTCTGCTGAAAAAGTGTATTCCAGCCTCAATACATGCGAAGTGGGCATTTTGTTTTACGAGTGAAATATTTTTGCAGTTGTATCAATGAGCTACTACAGTTTCAGAATTGCCGTCCACTGGACTTCACACTATAAGCTTTTAAGCTTTTAGTAAATATAAGAGCGACAGATTTTCTTGCTCATAACTCCTCAATTCATGCAGTGATAAATGTTTTATATTGTTCTAATTTATTGGTATATCATTTAGGTAAGGACAACACACGTGAAAGCTTAAACGAAGTGTCTCATAATGCTGCAATCGCATTAATCCGCCATGCACTATCAAGAGGAGTGCGAGTTGCTGAAGTATACGTCGATACCGTTGGGCCGCCAGAGAAATACCAAGACAAGCTTCAGAAAATCTTTCCTGATATCAAGGTGCCATATTCAAGTGTTTTTAGTACTACGTTTCCGGAGAATAATTCAGCACGCCTTGATTGAAGTCCCAGCGATGTCTGCGACACATTCCTAGCTCGAATTAAGCAATGTAGATTTATGTGAAGAGCACGCTAAGAAACTATACGTCGGAAAACATATACGGTCATTTTTATTTTAAAGACTATTGCCACATACGCCGTTCGTATTTATTACTCATTTTATGAATTAGATTTCAGAATACACCCGCTTGAACCTTTGATTCTAATGGATCTCTCATCAATTAGCAAATTTGATTTGCCCTCTAATTTTCTGAGCTAACATGGTTCTTACTGAACAGATGATTTTGGAATCGCTGCTTAAAAGTCTTCTTCTTCCCGATGATATCTGAAAGTATTGCCTTGCTTCACTATAATAAAAAGGTAAAAATGAACCCACTGCCTCACCTAATCTTGTACCGGCAGCCTATTACAACAGTAATTCCCATTATTCTATTTGAACATCCGAAAATGTTGCGTATATCCTTTTTAAAATCTCAAATGTGTTTTTATTAGGAGAAATTGAGATCGTTCGGTTGTTTAACTATTAATTGCAGGTGACTGTAAGCAAGAAAGCCGATTCCTTATTTACGGTTGTGAGCGCCGCTTCAATCTGCGCCAAAGTCGGAAGAGATCGTGCACTAAGGAAATGGTGCTGGCGAGAAGGTGTTACATACGATAACATTGGTGAGCTTTTAAGTTTTTTCTTATGCAAACATTTTGAGTGACACAAGGAAATAGTTCGAGAATCGTAGGAAAATAAGGCCAATGCAAGTTTGGACAGTGTTAGGCCGAAAGTGTATGGATACATTGCTTAGACAAAAAAACTTCGTTGACAATCCCATGGAAATTGGCTGAAAAACGAAAATGGCGAGATAAGCAGTCATCCAATTTCATCCAGGAAGTACGTTGAATTATTTTCGTCAAACGGAAAAATTTCACATTTCTTCAGGTTCATCTTACAAACGTCTGCCCGTAGAAATCGGGAATATTTGAAATATGTAGTACTCCAAAAGGATAGGCTATGCGGAGTTAAGGTAGGTATCTATAACGACCGTTTTGTCAAAACCTTTGCAGGTTCCGGTTATCCAGGAGACGCTACATCAATAAAGTTTCTTCAGCAGTCATGTGACCCTGTTTTTGGTTTTCCATCGATTGCACGCTTCTCCTGGTCAACGGCCGAGGACATGCTGGCAAAACATCACATTAAGGTCGAATGGTGCCTCGAATCTAATAAGAAGGCAAAAGGCGCAATGGATATGTTCGTAAAGAAAGACCCTGTTCCAAAGGAGAACGCCTTCTTTACTGCTAGAAGCATTCAGCAAGTGGACGAGCTGTGATTTCTAAAAAGGCATTGATTTCAACCTGATTTTCAATACTTTGATTTAGCCTTTAGAAAAAAGATTTGCGTATGATGCTTGGGTTGTGATTTTTTCTGACCAAGTTTTAAGGAAAAGAAAATGTATAATACTATATTATAGTTCCGTATATCTCGTATAAAACAATGCGCGATGTTATATCGTTTGAAAGTAAAAATGGTTTCACCGTGAGGTGGATATTAAGTAAAAATCTGTGTTCGCTCATTTTGTGTGGTTAAAAACCGGCAAGCTGAATTAATGCGACTAATCTATTGCTTTCGAGTATTGTGTTGTACCGTGTACATACTTGCTAATAATAGGAGAGCTATAGTAAATTTACGGTGCTCTTAGTGGAAAGCTGTGCCTCGAACAAATAACATTCTTAGTTAAAACGTCATGTGCAAAATGGCGGTGCGTGCCAAACTAGCAATGATGCAATAGAAAATACAATGTCAACAAAAGAAATCATTCACTAAAATCATGCAGTACAAATACAGTATGTGAAAACAAAAGAGAAATGGGTAAAAACCATTTCTTTTAAAACAAAAATCATTGTTTCACGTGTAATAAATAAGTCAACAGAGTGAAGGGAATAGGAAAATACAATGGAGAATACTGTAAAGATAGTGGTTTGCAGTCTATAACCCAACAAATTTTCAAAGAAATTAAATGATCTTATAAGCTTCCCAACTGCGCGGCCTATCATCTGAGGTTTCCTCTATTCGGACACATCGCTACAAAGCATTAATTATAATTTCCTTTTATTTAAAACTTCATCTAACAAAAGTTAATTCATTCAGTTCATAAAAAATTCAACAGGTTGTTATTATAGATGTTTGTATGTTATGAAGCAAAAAGTAAAAGCAGGTGTTCAATATATGAAATTGAAAGGTACATGTTTTATTATTTCGACTTTGCAGTTGTTATTTACAGAACATTCATTTGTAACTTTTACCGAGTTCTATTTAATATCAACATGGCATGTTGTTGTATGAGTTATTCTTGTTTTTTGAATTGGAATTTATGTGTGATATATATGGTCAAACGCTCAATAGTGCTGTTAGACATTAATTTAGGATTACCGGCTTCCAGCAAAAACGAGGTGCATCTACGCACGTTTTAGAACCAAGGCAATTGCACATCTTTCTTATTTTAGCACACGAACACGTTATAGCTGCCACATTACAGCGATCCGTGTAATATCTGTAAATCAAAATTTATCAAAAACACCTTTCTATATCATTACAACATATAGCTGGTAAGTGTAAATTATCGACGATCCTCGAATCTTGTCTTACTATTATTTTGGACTTGCTCTAAACAAGCGAACGATAAAACATATCTCCAGAACCAGGCCCTGGTTGACACAAATATCGAATAGACACCATGATCACATAAGAATGGCACAAGTATTTATTCGAAGACGATTTGAAATACGTACACTGTATCGGTTAAGTACTATTTATCAATAAGCGTCTTTGTTAAATATATCTTAATCCGTGTAACTTTAGGCATATCGCGTAGCGTTACAACAGCTAAAAAATTGTCAACACTGTGACATCTACTTGACACGATACACCAGGTTTGCAGCTCGTTTTTTGCCTCTGTTAGGGACTTAGTTAACAAAGCTGGTAATTCAATCCATCCCCACCACGCAAGACCACTGAATATCTTTGTAATTTTTAAACAACAACACTTCTTATTAGTCAACGAGTTAGTTCCGGTCAGTTTCATAATGTTCTTTAGATTATGAAAACAAACAGATGCCGATTTTAAGAAGTCTATTCCTGCGGAGAACCATATCGTTAAGGTGTACGTAACGACAAAACTACAGTGTTGCTCTGCTGCTATTATGGGTCACAAAAATCCAGCGCAATCATCACCAAATTAATTAAAGAGATGTCACTTATCACCTCTTTGCGAAATTTCGCTTCTATCCAAATATGTGAACCCGCGTTTCTATAATATTATTCACACATAGTTACGCACTCTATACGGTAAGACATGACACGTTAGAATCATAGAGATATCCCACCTATATGCCCAGTCATTAACAACAAGAAACTGGAAAAGATAATGTTTGTTTTACAGTTCCGTCTGCGGCGTTCTCTGCTGATATCAGATTTAGAAAGTTCGAATTGTCGATGCACGCAACTAAGGAGAGTTTTAGTTATATTGATACTATATCACGGCTAAAGACTATTGCGTTTGGCTCTCCGCTTTACTGACTGAAAGCTGCATCGGCCTACGTGTTTAGTGCACTATTAGGCTCTTTCGGTTTCGGCTGTGACGACTCAGCGGCTTTTTGCCTAGCAAAAAATCCAGTAATAGGTTTACTTCTTGGGGTATTCAGCTTTCGTCTTTTAGGAGTGTGCGGTACATGATTTGATCCAGGACTACAAGGTGCTGATCGGCTTCCTGGCGTTGTAGGACCTCCCATACCTTCGGTCATATAACCCTCCTGCGGAGTTTGTCTTTTTAAAGGCAATGGAGAAACGACCTGTGCTGTCAGAGATTGCAACGGGGTTAAGGGTGAACGAGCTCCAAGAACAGGTGAAGCTTTTGGAGACGCAGGTGAGCACTGTGCAGAACGAACAAAGTGAAAGCAGCAGTTCCCACATAAAATACACACACGAATATTTTGTCAATTTTCAACACTGTAACAGTGCATTACTAGGACATAATGAAAGCGGTCAAAATTCTCAACTATCCTAATTCGAACTCGATCTCTTCACACAATTCTCGTACTCTTACATATGCGTTAGTAGCTGACCTACTTGACGTTCACTTCTTTCTTTTGAGATGCTGCGTATTTTTGTGGAAAGCCATTGCAAATAAATACAGTCATAATTGAAATATCGTAGCAAAAAATGTTCTGCTATAAGTACTGGTCTAAGTTCCTTTCGTTTATTTTACCTTAAGCCAATCGGACAATGATCTGGTGCTGCAGCGTGCGGTCCGATTAACGCGCGGTGTTGAGTCTCCTTTGGCAGGCATATTATACACCTCATGTAGCCGCGCATATTTCTCGCTAATATTCTTATTGTTGTCCGGCTGCGATATTTCGCAATACCCCCATGTCTGCATATCTTCATTCACCCCAACAGGCTCCCACAAGATTAATTGTTGATCATCTCCACATGAAGCCAACTATGCAAAAAGGAAGAGGAAAAAAAAATGAGAAAGACACTGTTTATACAAAATGATAAAATATGAGGAGTCTCATATTTCCATAATCTTTATTTAAATCCTATCATAATAAAGATACGCCGTAGCAGTATCGAAAACACCTATGGATTGCCTTGTTTGAATGACGGACAATTAAAACTAGACTATTTATCAACATAAACGGTGTCCGTTAGGTAAACATTTGTTAGCTAATAGTAGCCCCATGCGCGAATCAATGAAGCAGCTAACCTTAAGATCTGAACACCACGCTGGACACGTTGGTTCAGCGTAGTGGCCTTTGAGGACGCATAATGGCAGGCCGGGTCTGGACGTATCAAAAATTGGAATCGGCTGCTCTTCGCAGAACTCGTCCATCTAAACATTCAAAACAATGACTTCTTGCGTTAAATTAATAATCGAATATATATATATGTTTCATTAGAATATTTCATTCACTGTACGATACGACATAGCAACTATTTGATAATCTGAATTTTAGTTATTTAAGACCATAATAAGAGAGGAGGCAGTGTGCATGCTTGGCATATACATGCTGTTGAATATGAGTACAAATGTGCCATAAGCGGAACGATTTATATGTTAAATTGGAAACGGCTGTATAATTATGTTGCCTTTATTGCCCAATCGAACCGTGGTTGATGACGCAAGTCTACTCACTCTTGGTGACCCGATTGCTAGGAACTTGCCGCTTGGGCTCACGTCCATTTTAATGAAATAGGCGCCTTCGCCACGTCCAGCGTTGTGTCCATAAAATATACTCACTGAAATCCATAACCCAGTGCCGTGATAGTAATAATAGCCATTCAACAGTCATTACATGAAACATAATGATATTTTCTTTCACCTTATCAAGGCTGCAGAAATCCCTGAGCGCCTCTAGAGTAATTTAATTAGTTGAATGGTATATTTCCAAAACAGTCCTGTCTTTTGTTCTACGCTATACTGATCTCGGCCGCCAACTTACTAAGCAAACACGCTACCGTACCATTTCTGATAGTACTTCATGTACTAAATACATTAAAAAATTAGTTTAGAGATATTTTTTTATGTATCGTGTATAGTAATAAGTTTTTCTTACGGGATACATTTCATGTGCAACGATTATAAGACACAGCTATTGTCTATGTTTAAGCGGTCACTGCTAGTCCTGTCTGCTCACAGGCGAGAAAGTAGGTTTAGTCATAGTTTTTCAAACTTCTTAGATAGGATGGTCAAGTCCTGACAGGCCGTGTACTTAATTGCATTTCGTTGCGTTCGGTTACACCTCGTACCTATCCATGAAGCAAGGTGCAATCATGTGACACATGATGACACGGTGTAACCACTCTGCGACCATATAAACCTCTTTTCCCTATGGTCGGGAAATGCATTATGTATATTTCATACCTGGTTTGTCAGCATACACGTTGATATCGAATGCGTAGATAACATTATCACTACACTGAGCGTACAGTGTCTTTCTGTAAGGGCAGACAATAGCGTACGTGAAAGCGGTATTTTCATTTGACGCGGTTAGCCCACTGGCACTAGCGGCATTTGAACCAGATGTCGAAAGTTGATAACTAACCCCTCTACCGTCGGGTGCAAGACGTAGAAAGGGTCGTGGCTCTCGGAGCAAACTGTAGCTTCGGCGGAGATCCCATACGAGAAGATGGCCCCCACCACTCGCTGCCAACAAACAGTTATTTTAATTAAAACGAATATCATTTACGATAGCACTTTACAGAGGACAACTGTTGCTTGTTTTAACCTCGCGGCTCAGGCGATCAATCGTCAGTATACAGCAGCAGGAGCGCACACACAACTGCATATCGCCGTATATAATAATATTATGTAAAACTTCGATATCCTTGTTGAGTAAGCTAGAAAACTAGTCAGCTAGGTGTCTGCACAGCTTTTGCAGGAATAAACGCTCGAAATATTCGTATAGGAGCTGCCAAGCGAAAAGAGCATTGTTAACTGTACTAGCATTATCTACCTGTGGATATTAGATGATTGGCATCGCGAAAGTTAAGGCTAGTGATCCCGTATGAGTGTTGACTTGATTTAGATAAGCCACTTTTTCGAGATCCGGCGTTCTTCTTTGGGTGGGCCCCCTCAACGCGTAGTACAGGATCATCTGTTCGCCGATCGTAGACGATGATGTCGCCGTCTCGGCCTCCAGAAGCAAATACGTCTGTTGATTATTGAAAATCAAAGAATTTGTTAAATACGGATAAGCGCAAAATGTGTCGATTAAATAGATGCACGCAAAGTGTCAAAACGTTAACCAAGGACTCCTTTGTAACTCTGGCTGTGGGATGGACACGACCTAAAATTTCTTTATCGAACTACTACGAAGTGTGTTACTTCTATCTATTTCGTTTGCACCTTAAGGTTGTGCTTTGAACTCATATTACCAATAGCTCGTCGTCATTATTTATTTATTATTGTGCCTTTCATTTCTCCTTTTTATTTCATTCGAGCACCAACAGTGACTAATAGTCCAGATGTCTTAGGCATTTTTCGTCCGCAAAGATATGCACTTTGCATTCGAGAAAAAAATGTCCTTATTATTGAACTATGAAGTAAGACTTTTAAAAAAAATATTTTGAAAATGCATACATTCATACATTATATATCAATGAATCAATTTTATTTAGCACACGTTTCGTGTAACAACGTGAAACCGTATACTAACTATATATGCATATCTATGAGAGTATACGTATTATTATGCTCTGCACTCAATGAATATTAAATAGACCTATTACCTATTCGTTAAAAAATGACATTTTTAGCTTTTTCCTTACCTGAATCCTGGGGCTTTTGTGCAACGACCTTTACGCTGCCTTTATGCAACCGCCCCTTCGCCCACAACTCTTCGCCACGCTCAATATCCAGTACACCCAACTGGTTGTGGGGAGGACATGTCGCACTGAGCAAATGATATGTAGACAACCAAGCGATGTCGGAGATCATTGACTTATGCGGAGTAAAGGCTGTTGTCGTACAGCAAAAAGAAAAACAAAACAACATACTGTGAAAGATTTTGCATACAATACGTAAAGAATTAAATCGACTAGCGAGACCTCACGGTAAAGCGCTGGTGACAAGTCAGTAGCTGTTCTAAGCCAAATATGACTATCGGTAGGACTAGAAAGCGAAGGCCCTGATTACCTACTGAATGTGCTTGCCTTTATTTGCATGCAGAATAAATTGTATGCTATGTAATCAGCGTGTATAGAGCTTTCCACGGTGATTTGTTTTTATTGCGGAGAAGAAGTTCTATTATTGAAATATAGACAATTAATTGAGGTTGATTAGTAAACAAACCTTTTTTCGATTTGAACGTACTTCGGGTTGTATCGATAATTTCGATTAGCCCGTCTTCATTGGCAATGGCCAGAACTGGATCATATGGGGCACGAAAGCGGCACACAATCGGATGAGCATCGCTGTCCTATTTCACATAACCAATAAACAAAAAACGGAAACAGAAATAAACTATGATTTTTTTCTACTTTAGATACTATTTACACCTATTTTCCTGATCCTATTGAACCTATTTTGAACATATTTTCGTGAACCTTTCGGTGAACCTATTTTCGGGACAGAGCGTATAATTTTCTAAAAACCTCGTGGCGCACATGTGTGGTTTCAAAATTTAGACTAGAATTTATAGAAAAACCAAGCATGATTAAAAATAAATATTAAATATGGATCGCTTTAGAATGCTCTTGCATACAGATACGATATTTTTTAACATTATCTGTGATAATTCGTTTTGCTCCATACAGGTTTACGTACGTACTCTAGTTCAACTAACCTGTACTCCACCTAATTATTTTCCATAATGTATTTGGATTATAATGTAGACTGGGGTAAATAATCTATAAGGTTTGATTATACCAATTGAGTACTCTGAAAACTCGTAACATAAAAGAGATTATGAATGCAAGAAAAAGTACCAAAAACGATTTTTCTTAGATCTATGCTTTTTAGTAGAAAATATCAATGTACATAAGCAATAAAGTGGCACTTTTACTTAGTTCCTTAGCAGTTTTGCCATTATTCAGGCAACAAAAGTAACGAATATGTTTCTCATACCTGGTGAACGTCAGAAGGTATTCGAATTCGGTCAGTACCTTTTAGCCGGTCTAGTGGATTGCAGATTTTACCTAATGTTATAATCGGAAACAACATATTAGCTAGTAATTTATTCCGCCTTTGCATACTTTCGACACAGGTAATAGTTATTGTATAATAATTTCTTTAATTTTTTTCCCGTTTTCATTTGAGTCACCTTCAGTTTTTCATCCTAAAAATAATTAATTAAAAAGATCTTCGAAAATGAGTTTTGAATACACTCGTTTAACTGAGCGCGTCAGCAACACAACCGAGCGTAACGTCGATAGTGCTTACTATTCTTCTAGTTTGAAATTGCTTGACAAGGCAAAAATGTTGAACAAGAACTTAAACACTAAACTTATCATTAGTAATCAATTTGACTTGCAATTTTTACAAGTTCACGTATTTTGACGTTAGCACGACATTATCCAAACCTACATTTAATTGTAAACACAATAATTTTTTAAAGATCAGTCACGGTTACGGTTTTGATAGGTACGTATAAAAGATATTGGTAGGTGTTAAGAAAGTCCACGTGTTCTCATCTAACCTACCTAACTGGATTCCATGGGTCTTTTGGTACATAACATACGAAAGTCCACTAAATTTGATTTTTTGCCGAAACTTTCGTCGACGCAGGTTTTTCAGCTCATCCATACTCGCTTTAGGTGAAGCACACAAAACAAAAAAAAACACACTAAATGCTTATTTACTTAATTCTCGCGGTTACACGGAAACGTACACATACAACCGCACATTGGCTAAGGAATAACTTCACTATTTTCACATGTTAGGTTTTCGGAGCGCGCCTAGTCAACCCCATCTGTGTAGCGTTACGACGGGGCTTCGCTAAAATTCCATCTATATGCTGGCGCCTTCGCAAAGAGAAGCTTTTGGCTAGAAGCCTTGTAGGAAATTTGCCGCGCACGAAACCCGATGATTTTTCAGTCAATTTTAGTGGGGTTTTAGCTTTTAGTATGCCCAGTACATCTAGTTTTGCATTGTCACGGATGGACATGGCGAGTGTACACAGCCTTACAAACAAGCATTTAACTGGACAAAGCTGGTAGCGGAAAAAGCTTCCCTTACGCGCGTGGAGCGCCTGTCGTGTGTGAGGGTTTTTTTATTTACAAATTTCTCTGTGTGTGTTCGAAATCTGGTCGTCTGGACAGACGTCGGGTGAAAAGAAAAAATTTTGAATTTCCTCGCGGCCAATTGCGTACTCAAATCTAAATTTCGAGATCGTTTTGTGACTCTGTTAGTGTCTTCGGTGATTCTCCTTGGCTGAACGATCATTAAGTTAGCTTAGCAGCGGTCAAATGGCGACCGCTGTTAATTAAAAAGGCTCTTCCGAACGAGATGTAAAGTGAAGCAGCAGCACCCTTCCCCAATTTCCGAATGTGCTGTGGCCCTTTTCAAAAAATAGCATACTGGTATGTTCTCTGTGCTTCGCCGATCCGGGGTCTGTCTGCCAGAGTCTCTCTGTTAAAGTTAACAGAGAATAGCGGGCTGACCCCTGACCGCAAAATATTTTCGTCTTATATCTCTCTCGCCAATCAGTTACCCCTGTTGGGTAAATGAGGCGCGCCCTTGTAGAAGTCGCCTAGCATCTGTGTAAGTGTCGAATAATTAGTTGTGTGAACTCTATATTTCAAAATTAATCTACTATCCGTCTCCTTGGTAGCTTTGACAAAAGATTAGCGAGCTCATATCCTGTCCATCCACTTCATCAGACTCGAACTGCGAACTTTCATGAAGTGAAGCAAAAAAGCTGAGAGTAATCTCAAAGTAAGTTTACAACGTTCATTTTCGTAATCGACCCCATCCTCAGCTTTCTTGAATAGAACGGAAAGACATGTCAACTTTAGGAGTCTCTAGATCAGGCCGCATTCGTAAGAAATCGGCAAAAGTTGTTGAGATGGAAAACTTTGATGGGGAGGAAGGTGAAGATAGCAATCGACCAGCATTCACAGCAACGACAACAATTGGTTCTGGAATGGCGATATCTGGTGGTAGTAACCATCCTCAACAACATCACCACCTCACTCAGCCCCAGTCAACAATAAGGCATCAAACTGGATATACCGATTCAAAAGGTAACGAGTCGGGATCACGAAATCCTTCATCCGGTTTGTCTTCGGCTGTCGTCGTGCGTAAAGGTGTGACAGCTATTTCAGTCGGAGCCGCCGCTGCTCGTAGGCCAGCTAACCAAAATCACAACAGTTCTTCCCAACATCAACAATTACGACAAAACAGACACAACATGAACGTCAACAACAGTCATAACTACAATAGCGGTGGCGCCCACGTAACGTTTGGTAGTAATAGCAATACTCCGAGCAACAACAACAATCAACATAATAGTCAGGTTAGAGACAACTGTAAATACTGCTAAAATCTCTATCTTGGAGGAAATTAAATACTTGGACTGTGTTAATTGTAGTGCATCTAGCTTCGATAAGAAAACAGCGTAAAAGTTGAGGATTCATTATTTCTATGGCGACTGTTATTATATAAGAAGCGTAGAGTGGAAATTTCGTCGTTGTTCCTTTTAATAGTGTCAGCTCGTTTTCAGCTTAATCTTGTCGGTAGCTAGGATTTAATGTTACTGGCAATCTTGAAGTTTCACGTTCGCTGAAGTACCGAAACAGTTAATACAGATAATGTGCGTATCTTCGCAATTATTAAGAAATTGTATTTTGAAAACCAGTCTCAGTTCTCAGATCTCAATATCTTTTCTAATTTCTAGTGTTTTATAGATTAATTTTTGTGGGGTTTTTCAGTTTTCCGTTGATAATTCTTCGTCCACATCATCCGAATCAGAATCCGATGACTCTTCAGACAACGATTCGGATTCCGACGAGCTTCCCTATCCGCTGCAGAAGGTAACGGCTCAACAAATGGTTCAGCTGCAGGCGCTGCAGAAAGGGCGCAGGCCAAAACAGGCAGCACCCCAACGAAGTCGGCAGTATTCTTCATCGAGTACACATGAATACGATCCACCGTATAATCCGAAAACGGGAACCTCCAAGATATCGGGTTCTACCACATCTTTACATAAGAATCCAACTCGAAAGCTTTCTCCAAATCAGCCACAACGAGCGATCCTACTAGATGGTCAACACCATCCACTACACCAACAGCATCCACAACACAAAATGCATCAGCAGCGCCATGCTCAGCAACCAATGCGGATACCCGCTGCAGACAGTGAGATGTCAAGCAGCAACGAGGAAGATTCCGATGAAGAGTCTGACTCAGGCGATTCTTTAATAATCGATAGTGGGGACGGGTTTGCCAAGAAGGCTCCGATACGGAAATTGAAATTGTCGCTAGCGACGGCAACTGCGCTGGCAACCGCGCAACGCCAAAAAATGCGTCAGCGTCAAGAGGAGGTTGAGGACGAGCCAAGTGAAGACAATGATGATGATGATGATGATTTCGTCCCGTCAAGCGCAAAACGGAGAAAACCCAGTGGGCAATCAAGTCATCCGCCAGCCATCGCAAAGAAAACCGCTGCGCCGCCCCCCGAGAAGAAATCCGAACCTTCCGAAAAGGCTGAGCCGAAGAAACCGAAAGCACCATCAGCCTATGTCATGTATTGTAGTGACATACGCAAAAAGCTACTAGCTGAAAACCCAAGCCTGACGTTCGCTGAACTTAGCAAACGTATGGGCCAAATGTGGAATCATTTGCCAGAGAAAGATAAACAACTTTGGAAGCGGAAAGCCAAATCTTTACAAGCCAAAAACGCTAGCGGGCTTATTACTACGGGTAAACAGCCAATGCAGTCGACGCCAACGCAGGTCAAAATCAAAGCAGCGGAAAAAAAGGCACCTGCAAAAGCGCAGCCGGCGCACCCACCCGTACAAAAGATCCCTTTATCAACCAAGGCAAAGACAACCATACCTACAGCTCCAAAGCCAGTAGCTGGTAAGACAACTCTTAAATCCACAACCTCTGCTCTCAAGACGACATCTGCCAAGGCGCTCCCCAAGTCTGCCGCTAAGGGAAAATTATCTGTGGCTCCATCTGCCTCAACAACTTCCACAATCGCCTCAGCCGCATCGTCATCGTCCTACTCCTCTTCCAATCTGCAAGCATTAATTAGCAACTACCAAGAGTTACTGGACAAACCAGTGGAGGCACCTCCCAGACCATTTGGCCACTCGCCACTTGATGCAGCCGCGCACCTCAAACTACTCGGGGAATCGCTCACGACGATTGGTACTAACCTGATGGAGCACCAGGGCCCGATTGCCGTGTCGGGCAGTTTGTCGGTGCTGTTGGATAGCACGCTGTGCGCGCTCGGGCCTCTGGTCTGCTTGACGGCGCAGCTTGATGAGCTGGATGGGTCTCGACCGGAGACGCTACGAAATATCCTTAATAACATTGCCTATATTATGCCTGGTCTATAATTTAATACAAGGAAACGGCGGAGGCCCTGTATAGCAGCCGAATGTAGAATTAAAAAAAAAAGAGACAAGTAATAGCAATCGAATCTAAACGGATTCGTCCCATATGTGTTGCATTACATGTTTGTTACATATGTATATAAACCTGTACAAGGAAAAGTGCCCAGATGCTATAATAGATTTATTAAGAACCATCCTGTCATCGACATCGTCAAATATATTGATATTCAGCGCCGGAAATTCATTCACAGAACAGCTGCATTAACAGCTTGCAATACAGATTGTACGATTTGTGAAGGTAATGAAAACTTTTGGAATGGCTAAAGGAATATGACTGATGGAATGCATTCCCGCAATTTTGTATTGAATACACTTTGGTCAAGCGCCAAGGAGCTGCTAAGATAGCGAAGTTGAATTTTCGGAACATATGAGAACTGATATTATACTATTTTTGCAAACTGAAGAAAGCCGTCACATAAGTCCCGTACCAGTAGCGTCTCGTTACGAAGGAGGGCTGTTTCATTTGTTCAGGTTCTACCATCACGCACGCATGGGATCGTAATGACGCTCTGTAGGCTAATGGATGATCATGTTAGCAGCGCACATTGCCGAATTGAGTTTCCGATTCTATGGCGAAATTGGCCTGTTGCTATATGGTTTGGAAATTTCTTTAAGCTAGAAGGATTACTACTCTGATTTTGAGACTCTTCTTATTGTCACACGCTCACACACTATTATGCACGGCTTATGGCTATTTCATGCAGCTTTTCGAAACCCCAAACAACAGGATTGAGGGTTATTCCTTTTTTTTCAATATAAACACGACCCAACAAATCCGGATATACCCATTTGACTTCATTATACAATGTCAGCACAACAGATACGGCGAATATTGTGCATTTTCATTTGATTTCTATTGAGATTTGTTACAACATTAGCTGTTCAGCTTATAGAACAGATTAGAAACACTTGAACATCTATAGCATCTATCAACGTCTATAACTCCCAGTTAGTCGGCTATGTGATAGGACACTTCAAGGTAAAAGCCAGAATGCTTACCAACCTGTGTCAAAAAATTTGTTATTTTCTAAAGGTCCAAAGGTAGTCGCGTCGCCTGTATTCATTTGCGAGAAAAAAAGTTTTTTTCCTGTATATAGTAGCTTTCTGTAAAGAGTGGCGCCATTGACGTATTGTATGCACCGTCGGGAAATGCCATCACATATGTAATAAAACATTGACCTCCCTGTGATCCCATTCATGAAAAAAAAAAAAAGAAAAAACGATGATTTGTGAAAACCAAAATCGTTGTGTTCACGTTGTTTGATAAACCGTAGTAGAAAACGGAAAGGATATGCAACAAGCAGAACTGAATATAATGTATATATTGGTGTAAATAAGTTATTTTATGAGCTAGTGAAAGCGAAGAGAATTCATTCGAAACCCAAATGTATCTCAGAAACAAAAAAATAAATTGTCTTATTTTCTATGGGCCTCCTCCTATTCACGCAAAACAGCCGTAATTTAATCCAGTATTTGAGATCGTATCGCCAGCAAACGTTACATAAATGCAGTTATATTAAGCGATACTCAGTCACTGAGGGAAATTAGGCTAAATTTTTTTTGTGTACGAAACATGCGAAAACCCTGTATGTATGTATGTATGTATGTATGTATGTATGTATATGTGAGTACTGGTAGATACGTGACCGTATCGAAAGAAATCACGAATAGATCATGTGTTGTGTATCAGTGAATGTAGACATTTTATATATATATATATATATATATATATATATATATATATATAGAGAGAGAGAGAGAGAGAGAGAGAGAAAGAGAGTACACTACTGGATTCTATATAGCCTGTACGCATACATACCGCTACAGAATTTAGTTTAGAAGAAAACGCCATAATAAAAATTGTCAAAGTCATCAATCTGACAGAAGAAACCAAGATTGTAAATGAAGAATCATGGTAAAATAGTCAATTCATCATACATTATATAAGATGTTTTGTGTATATGTATATCTTCTCACCCCATCCATCTGGTAAAATTTAGAAAGTAAAAGAAGGGCAGAAGGAAAGAATCGAATTAATAAATGACATTCTGTATATTATATCGTCAGTAAGCACCGTTGAGGTCTTTTGTGGTCGGGATTTATTTTATAACCATTTTCAAAAGATATCTTCCAAAGTGCACATAGACAAATAGCTGAGTTGCAGCTAGCTCTGTCCACCTGATTTTCGGGCTTAGGTGGATTGATCAAACGTAGCATTTCTTCCACCTCATTTCCTTCCCAGCTATCAGTTTGATCTCCCTGCATGCGAGGTTTACGACCTTATGATGCCGAATTCATTAATCACCCTACCACACATATTGTATTCTGTATTTATCTTTAGCTCAAAGTGCTCTGTCTACCTCATAATTTGACTGTCCCTTAATCCATTTTACTAAATTCCTAAAATTCCTCTAGATCTTGACGTATATTTTCTTTTTATATACTGGTTTGTCGTCCTATTTTCAGCGTGTTGACCGCTGACGTTTTGTGCAATACAATGTTTGTTAATTCAAACGCTGAAATCGGCCTTTATCATTAAGATGTTATATCATATAAGCAAATAGTAGTAGAGATAGTAATGACACCAGGAATAATTACCAAACAAACGCTAATGATTTATATAATAATATCAATTTGTATTTCTTTCCTTACGAACGAACCCCCAACATATTTGCGGAACCACTTTTCAGCGCGGGTTCCCAATACATTTTACTATGTTTTTCTCTGCGTTGCATTTAGATCTATTGGACGTTGCTTGATTCCTTCAACGTATATACCCATCAATACTTCGTTATAGTCAACTAGTCCACTAGCCGTTAGTACATGTGCTGTTGAAGTTCTTTCTCTCTGAAAACAATCCATAGTAGCAATAGAAACAGTTGCCTTCCTTATGGTACCATCATAATTACTGTTGTGTTCGAAACAATATTCTTTGTTTGTTTTTTTTTTATAAAATAGATATACAGTATATGGAATATAACATGAGTTTCATGCACGTGTGCTTTGTTTCCTCTTTTTCTCGCTCTTCCTATATATATATATATATATATATATTTCAAGCATGACTATCCAACGGAGGTAAGGATGAGTTCAGGGATGGCAGGATCGGTTGATCGTACAGCCATATTCATCGTGACACCCTCCTTACTTTCGATGAGCGCCAATCTTGAACGGACAAGAATCTTATCGCCGCCCCGGAACACGCCAGCTAATAGCAGCGTATGCGTGGCTTTACCCTCGGGTACTTGATCGGACCGTTCGCAAGCGTGCATGCCTAGAAAGCCTTGTATATTCTGAATCGCCTGTGTCAAGGTCGAGTAATTGGAGAGAACGAATGTGTCTTCCAGTTCGCTTTCAGGACCCATCTCCTCCCAGCTGCCAGAAAAGTCGGCAATAGCCACCTTGAGCACATAGTCCGATAGCGCCAATTCAACATCCTCCAGAACGTACTCATCGGGGTATCCGTCGGTGTCGTCTGGCTCGCCCGTTGCTGGGTCGCAGTCTTTTACTACATACTTGAGCGTGTTCGAAAAGGTCACATTGCAGGCCACCTCGGGCTCTTCAGGGATTGCGTAGCAGACAAAACATGAACCAGTCTCCTGGTAAGCTAGCTTTTCGAGAGGAACCTGTAACACAACTTTCCAGTCAGGATGGACGGCTACGGTAGCCACCGAAACCTCTGAAAAATGCACAAACATGGAATAACTAAAGGACGTGAATAACATATGGCCAACCAATATACAAAAAAGAATCAGCTCCGTAAGGGAACGCATGGAAAAAGCTTAGTATGAAAGTGAAACACTTTTGTTAAAAACGTAATCACTATTCTAATAGCTTTTTGTACATTCAACTCACATAGCACCATAATTGAATAGCACCATCAAACCTTAGGGTTAGAGAGACGATGGATATATCTCGCCATTTACAGAACTGAACCTGAGGCCAGCGGAATGGCTTTTAGTAGAAGTAAAAGTGATCGTTTCAATAAACACAGAATATCCGTTTTGCAATTTAGTTGTGACACGTTACGTACTTTCGAGCAGTTGGTCGTTGACTGTGTTTGTGCAATTGAATTGAAGTACAACATGGTGATCGAAAACATGCTTCACCACCTGAACGACATACTCCGTTTCCGGTTCTGTGAGTGCTACCGGGGGCAGTGTACGGAACACCTTTCCCAAATGGGCGAACTGAGGCACTTGCAACATCTGCAAAAGCAACAAATATGCAAATCAAATTGTTGGCATGTAGATCCACGATTACAAATAGCTCATTCGAGGAATACTCTCATATAATTGATATGCAATAGATGACAACTTTCTTTGTAGATAAATCAAATAATAAATCATGATCAAAGATAAGCATGACCAATAATAGCTACAGCAGATAATTTTTCTAGTTGTAAAATACCTCCTCCTGATGCACGTTCTTTCCTGGCGTCATCTTCTTTTCCGGCGCAGCAGTGGGAGTTGCTGTCTTCGCCTGTTTCGCCGGAGGTTCGTACTTCACTAGGCTCAAATCGAACGGAGTCTCCATCTCCGTCCTCAGATAGTTGTACAGGGCTTTCTCAAGACCGCTAACCGATACGGTCAGTTCCTGTAAAATATCGCTTGTTCCCTGCTGTAAAATCTGTAGGTAATATGCGGCCCGATCACGAACCTCGTCGTCCTCATCGAGCAGACTCCGCTCAAGGAGCACGATTACGTTTTTAGCGAGGGTCGGACACTGCGCGCCGAATTGGGCTAGAGCACTAACGGCTGCCGCACGAACCTGCGCGTTCTCAAGAATTAATCGGTTGTAAATAAACCGTACGTATTTGGTCGGATTTGGCGTTTGCGGGCCGCGTGTAGCTAGAAGTGATAGAATCTTCACTGCAAGACTCGTGTGCTCGCAGTCTTCAATAAACTCGCATAAATGACCCAAACCTATTTCCATACTGTCCTCGTTGTTGTTAATCACATCGATAATGGTATTGACGATCGCTTTCTTGTACTCGTAGCCACCTTCGTCCCGGAGCATATTAGCAAGGAATGTCATCATCGTGCCTTGTTTGCTGGGGAACTTCTCACACAGCGATTGGATGCTGTCTACTACGACCACTTTGAATTCATCGCTGATCTCCGACATAAACGTAGAGATCTGCTTCATTAGTCGTTCGACCGAGCTCTCATTAGCGGCTGTCTTCAATAGTGTTGTAATAGCTAACGTCGCAATTGAACGGTTAGTGTCTGAAATCAACTGTTCGAGATCCATATTACACCCCATTACTGTGCTCGGATGACTGATCGCCACCCTATTCAGGGTGCGGACAGCGGCAAAACGGAGTATCGGCTTAGGCGAGCTCAGGAACAATTGCAGAACCGATACCGCCGCACTCACTTCAGAGGGACTGGATGAACGCATATTGACGATAGAGTGCGCAGCCTCGTAAACGACCATATCGTTCTTGTGACGCAGACAGGATTCGACAAAGCTGAACATCGGTGAGTCTGTGCCATAGCCTTCATCTTGAATCATCTTACAGGTCAACTTGATAAGCATACACAGTGCGTATGGCGATTTGAGTGTATATTTTGTATGTTTGGAAATTAGCTTCGAAACTGCCAGCTTATCGTTCTGCCGCATCTGGTACAACAGGCCCAAAGCATGGTATTGCACCTGCACAACGAACGCAGGATTGGCTGTTAGTATATGCTATATTGTCAATCGAGATGAGCAAATATAGAAACAAGATAGCTAAAGTACAAATCCACAAAGTCAACGTTGTTGGAAACATGGAGATACTGAACTAAGAGGCGAATCTGTTTTACGAGTTCAGACAGAAAGAACAACCATAAATGTCGCTAATTCAACCTCAACATCAGAACCACCAGAATAATATCTACAGGCTAGGTGAACTACTTATCAACGTAGCATACCATTGGATCGTCGGAATTTAACGCTTCTTGAACCTCATTCGGCCATCTTCGAACGATATCAGCACAACCCTGATCGAGCAGGTGAATGCAAGACACCAGGGCGCCTGAAGCAACTGAACCATTTTTATCCACAATCGCCTGCTTCATGTAACGTTCTACGGCCTGTAGAGTTCCCGTATCGGCAATTTTGCACAGTGCACGAATTGCAGCCGGCCGATACAGCTGTTCTTTTCCTGTTGAATACAAAAGTTAGTTTACTGAATTGCTTCTGTTAATTAGCTCGATACTGAGTCGCGATTATTTTTATCTAATCAAAACTGCTACAATGTGCAAGGGGTCTTTGTTTCATGAAGAACTAAAGCTTATCCTCGATGCAATATCGGCTTGAATTATTACTAACCAACATACCGGTCATATCCTTGGTGAGTGAAGATGTGACAATAATCACATCATTAGCTGTGGATGCGAGTTCCTTTATACCAAGATAGACAAGTCGGCGGAGCATCGTATCCGACGACTGAAACAGTCGCGTCATCGCGAAAAAGGTATCTGTCGCTTCGGCTGCAGAGAGCTTTTCTCCTTGATTAAGCAGGTACAGTAGCTTTGTCAATACCTGACACATGAATGAAATAATCATAAAAAACTGCTGTCAGATTTATAAGTGGTCTCTATCTAGGTCGCATGCCTAGAAGATGTGATAGCAAAAATAAAAGGATTGGGAATGATAGGTTAAGTTTCGAACATAAAATGAATGTGTAAAATAAAACTACATGATGATGTAAAAAAAATGATCTGTCGAACCTTCGAATTAACATCGTTTAAGCTTGCTCCCTGAACTTCTTTAATGAAGCATTACGTGTGGCCGAAGAGATGTTTAGTCACCAACTTTTTATCATGTTGATAAAAAGCTATATAGTTGAAGAAGCTGTAACCCTGAGCGGTTACTGGTATTAATCATATGACCAACTAGTCATTTATTTTAGCATCCTATATCTGTCAAACAGCGACTGTCACTCGTAATATTACCATATTGCAAAGCTTGAATAAATACATCTAAGAAATTTTCATTGTCCGTTAAGTGGCATTGCTTTGCCATATGCAGTCCTATCTCCTGCAGACACCTGCACTCTCAACTAATTCTTTCGAACAAAACTCAACAGCTACCAGGCCTTCAAATATATTTTCTATTCTACAATTGTGACAATGGTAACATTCCTTATGCCTCCATTAGGTCACTTTTATAGCTATCGGTTGTAGAGCATACCTAACATTTTTGAGTAAAATGGATATCAGCTGAACCAGGCGAAAGTCGACGATATCTGAATCATGCATACATACGATCAAGTCTCTGGAGCATTTCAGTTAAAGGTTACCTTAGCCCATATCGAAATCAATAGTTGACAAAAACGTACACCCACCTGTGACGATTTTTTTGGATCGACAGGACTCTTAGTAAATACTCGAGCCTCCTGAAGAACTGAACTGCGTTCTCCGGCCCACTTATTTCCTGCCATGCCACCATCCTCATCATCTTTCTTGTCCTTGCGGGAATGCATGATCTCGAAGCTTCACAGTGGTATTCCTAATTATCCAACTGCTCGATCTCTACGAACGCAGGTAGCCAAGAGTGGAGGTTTGCTAAGATGCCGAATAATAACTACGTAGAATATATAGCGTCCGGAACAGTCAGTGCACCGTCCGTTCCGGCACGACGGCCCTTCACCAATAGCACAGCACTCACAGCTCACCACAGTGAGAATCGGCCTTGTCGTGAATATAAGAGCGACTAACGAACACACAGTAAGCAGCGAATGACACGCACACTGGGAGATAGATGCAGAACGGTGCTTCGGCGGAGCGATATAGCCAGCTCCGGTTATACATTCAACAACAAAGGCCACTGCTGGAAAATAGCCGTCACCTGTATAAGCACCGCTAATGGACACCTTGCACCGCTGCGTTTCCCCATTCCCATCAACACCTGATGGGAATAAAGAGAGTAAAATTGGTGGACGTTTAGATGTCTGCTTTCTAGTGCTGAATGAAGGGAATAACGGAAATCGGAGTTGAATGACCAGCCATTAAGGCTAGTTGTATTGTGCTCACGGTTGATGCCGCGCGAAAGATTAATTTTCGCGTGGACCACAGAGGCTGCGATAGATCTATATTGTATTGTTTCTGTGTAGTGATTCATACACACTAATATATATGATCTGTCAGCACTAGCCGATAACAGCACGCATAAGTCAATGCTTGTTGTTAAGATGGCCGACTTCGCCCATTATTAACTATCACTGGCAACGGAAAATTACAATCATAGTTTGATAACATACGGTTTCGCAGCATATACTATCCCATAAAGGAAAGAAATATCAAATACGCTTTTTGGGCTAGATTATTATTTTATTTCTTCCTGTTCGTCACGTGGACGATGATAAGATTCTATGCTATTTACTGGATGCCTTTTGATACCTAAATGATAACTATGCGTAAAATTAGCCATTTGAAACTCGAAAATTAACAACTGCGAAGGCCTAAGTAGCAGGAAAAAGCTAATGAAAATCTGAACAAATGCATTACTTCGCTGTCACAGGTGCGCCTATAAAAGTCTTTTGCCACGGTCTCACAACCCGATTTCCGCGCAGCGCGGTTACGCGCCCAACGATCCAAGTCACAGATTAGGTCACAGATCAGTTAGGCATTGACTGAATTTATTGTGTAAGTTAATTATTAGAAAGCACTGGTAAAAATGACGTCAAATCCTGTTTCTATTAGCTCTGCACTAATTCAATATAAGTTATGGTTCTGTGTAGTGCCTATACCTAGTATACGACAAACGGCAGCTCACCTGTACGTGGAACAGCTGACGATGCTATGCTGCAAGAGCCGAGTTCTGCGTCTATCTCTGTTTGAGTATATCAATAAGGTTTCGTGTACAGAACCGTTCGAGCTACATCTGATTTGGCCAGGGGCTATTTTGGTTTTTAGCTGTAGGAACTTCTGTGAAGGTTGCACATCTGTAGTATACGAATAATCTAAACTTAGCGCACGCCCATACAAGTGAGCTCGTTTGTAGGTATGAGGGAAAAAACAATGATGTTTAAACAAAGGTTTCTCCTTTGCTCATTCATAACTTAGTATTTATCCTTTTAGCTATAATAAACGCCAATAGCTATTTTATTGGTATAGGAATATTTTTTTCAAGGCTTCTGAAGATGTTCACATAGATTATTTTTATTTATACTGCATTGTTGCTTGTATCTATAGCGAACTGATACCGACATTTCTGGTGTAGCAGGATCTGCGACAATGGCAAAAATATCTTATTGAAGTATTTCATTCACAAAATTGTGGCCCTGATGTAAGGCCAGATTTTTCTCGGTGAAATGTGAATTTTGATCACGATGTAAACAGTTAAAGCTAAACCTTCGCTCAATGCAACCCAAAACATTGAAAGCCAGGTGACGTTAATAGATAACGGATCGACAAGAATCGATGAATTTTTTAAGGTTCAAGATTCATATTGGGGATTTTACTTTGGATGTTCCCATTATATTATATAAGTACCAAACTGTTTCTGTATGGTGATACACAGTAAAGAGTTTTATCGTAGGTGTGCATAAGTAATATGGTCCGAGACACAGACTTTAATCGTAGATAGTACTTATTTTGTAGTAACTTCATTTACTTCGAAAAATCAGGCAACGTATATTTTTGCATGGATTCGGACTGGCCGACGAATGCGAGCTGTCTATCATCGTGATGAGTCGCTTGAGTTCCTGCAATAAATGCGTGCTAAACTTCACTTCAAAAGGTGTCTTTGACTTTGGAAAGCATCATTTCAGAGCCTTTGTTTATTATTCCGCATACGCTCTGTTGATCTGTACAGATAAAAGAACCGACATCTAGAGCCTACAAGATACGTCCCCCATAATTGTGCAATCTTCTAAAAGATAGAAAAAATATTAAAAATGAAATTGTCGCTTATTTTTCGTATATGCATTGCCTACTGGGCGACTGCGGATCCTCCAGTGAACCACCTTTCAGGACGTGTCTGATCACCATAAATGAACTGTACACTGCTTCCGTTAAATGGGCGGGTTGTGATTCGATGATGATTGATTTTTTCGTAGATCCCTATATATATATATATATATATATATATATATACATA